TTAGTAAATTTAACATTGATACATTACTTTTAGTTAATCTTCTGTCTATATGTCCATTTTATCAGCTGACTCAACAGTGTCCTTTAGGGCATTTCCCCCCCTCCAGTTCAGGATCCAGTCCAAGATCACATATCATCTCTAGTTGTCATATCCCTTTAATCTCCCATTTTGCAACCTTGCTTTGTCTGTGACATTGACATTTTAAAATAATTGACCTACCCCTTACCTTTTTTGTTGTTGTTTTGTTTTGAGATAAGGTCTCACTATGTTGTCTTGGAACTTCTGGGCTCCAGGGATCCTCTGACCACAGCCTCTCAAGTACAGGCACATATCCCCATGCCTGATCTACTACCCCTTACTTTTTTTTTAAATATTTTTTTATTTGTCAATGGGCCTTTATTTATTTATTTATTTTAAAATATTTTTTTAGTTTTTGATGGACCTTTATTTTATTTATTTGTATATGGTGCTGAGAATCGAACTGAGTGCGTCACACATGCTAGGCAAGCGCGCTACCACTGAGCCACAACTTCAGCTCCAGACCTTTATTTATTTGTGGTGTTGAGAATTGAACCGAGTGCCTCACATATGCTAGGCAAGCGCTCTACCACTGAGCCACAACCCCAGGTCTACCCCTTACATTTTAAAGACAAAATGTTCCTCATTTTGGGGTTTGTCTGATGTTACCTCATGATTAGATTCACATTTCACATCCCTGGTCAGAATTATAAATGAGTGGTATGGTCAGGCTATCACATCCAGAGACATATGGTGTCCATCTTCCCCTTACTAGTGATAATAATTATGATTACCCAGTCAAAAACTTTTATTATCCTATTTCTCATCTGGTTTGGACTTTACTTATCTGGGTTTCAAAATATTGCTGTAATACTTAGATACACTAAAATTCAAGAAATAAAATAACCTTCCCTTTTTACTGTAATTGGGCTTTTTGTAATATACTTCCTTATTCTCATTGACATGGGGGGGAGGTGCGCAGTATTACCCATGATTGGGCCATGACATCTCCAGGAGTGTTCTGCATTGTGAGAGCTGCCTGTCCCAAGGCAGGCCAGGGTTAGGTCCCAGAGCATGGAATGGAACAAAGTCACTTCTGATGTTGCATTCTTTCAGAACACATATGACCGCTGCCCCATGGAGCTGGTCCGCTGTATCCGGCACATTCTGTACAATGAACAGAGGCTGGTCCGAGAAGCCAACAATGTGAGTGTCCTGTGGTTGTGAAGAGAGGAGTGGGGATTCCTTTATTATCTACCTCTCTCTGGACCCAGCTTTGTCAGGGTCACTCAGTGTGCACCTATTGGTGTCCTTTTAGAGATCTGATCTTAATAGATTTATAACCTTAATGAGGTTGCAACCACAAAGCAATGTGAACAAGTACAAAATAATATAACCCCAGCTGAATTGTTTTTTAGCAAAGATACACTCATATTCAGGTAGGATTACCTGGGAGAGACTTCTCAATCCCTTCTAAGCCAGGTGTTGGAGGAATGGGTCAAACCAGGTCACTTAAATAGCTGGATCCACAGAGGCCTTGTTTATGCCTCCCCCATATTTTCATGTGGTAGTCTTCAGGATGCCTGTGAAAGGTTCAGCTTCTTCCACAGTGGAAGCAAATTATTCCATCACAAGAAAGTCTTGAGTGAGCACACAGACAATGTGCGTTCACAAAGCCACAYTCCCCACTGCGTGCCTAACATTAGTGCAGCCGTATTAGGTCAGTGAATAAATGTAAAAATGTGGGTCATCATCATTAAAAGGAAAACCCAGGTGATGCCTAGAACACGTTGAGTTCTAGTCTCTCCACAGGAATTATTGGGCCCTGTTTTGGTACTCTGGTGGAAGCCAGATCTGAAGTACTAGTTTCCACTATGGTAGTGCCATATTCTGTCAGGTCACTTGTTTCTCCATTTTCCCATTTTACCCCAGTGCTCACGGATGATGTTTGTGATTCCTTCTGATCCAAAATTTAGCTTTTGGGAGTCTTAGCCCAAAGTAGGATCTGGCATTGGTTGGCTTTTCCTAGGGATTAAGGCCAAAGGTTTCCTCCCACCCCACGGCCCTGCACTGTCTCTCTGATCTCTCCTCAGGGCAGCTCTCCAGCTGGAAGTCTTGCGGATGCCATGTCCCAGAAGCACCTTCAGATCAACCAGACCTTTGAGGAACTGCGACTGGTCACCCAGGACACAGAGAATGAGCTGAAGAAGCTGCAGCAGACCCAAGAATACTTCATCATCCAGTACCAGGAGAGCCTGAGGCTCCAAGGTGAGGCTAGGGCTGCAGGGGCCGAGGGAGCTGTTTGTGTCTTGGAGGTGTGCAGGTGGGAGTAAGGACTAGAAGGCTGCTCAAGTTGGGTTGTAAGAAAACCCGTTTTTCATTCTGAGCATCTATCTTCCCTTGGCATTAGAAGGATGAGACTTAGGAAGGGGAGAAGATATGTCACCTATCCTTGGAGAGTGTGGGGTCAGGCTTCGGGCACCCTGGGGGAGTGCCAAGGTAGCTGGGGAAGACATTTCCTTTTKGGGAAGGAGCTCATAGTCGTAGGTAAACAGCATCAGCTGTAATATTTTATATATAATAAGCATTTTATAAATGCACATTTATTAAAGTAGTAAACAGAAAATGTAAAACCATATGCTCAGGGGAAGAGCACTTACCTACCATGTGCAAGGCCCCGGGTTCAATCCCTAGCTTCACCAAAAGAAAAAAGAAGAAAAAAAATCACCTTAAAAAAAAAAAAAGTCTCTCTAAGCAAGGATTCTATAAGGGCCAAGGGACTGTGTTTCTGGTGACCAGTGTTTAATATTCTGTGTAATTATTCAGAGAGGGCTTCCTGTGACTGCATATACTCTGTTTTGTTTTGTTTTGTTTTTTGTTCACAACATTACAAAGCTCTTGACATTGCATATACTCTGTGCCTCAGTGCATCCTTGTGGACAAATCTCCCTAGCACCATATACTGCTTGCTGCTTGAGGCATCCAGAAACTTCATTGTCAGTCTTGAGGCTGTGGAGCCCCACTGGCGCCCCCTCTTGACCCTGTAGGAAGTCAGCAGTTTGAACTTTTACAGTTTCCCTGCTTGTATACTCTGCTCAGAATCTCAGAGGAGTGATGGCTTGGCAGCCAGTGCCCATCCCCCCCACACACACACACTCACACAGTGTGCCTTCCTGTAAGAGTGTGTGTGGCAGGCTCCATCTCAGAACTTTATTGACACTATTTTTTGACTCTGTCTTCCCAGACTATAAATCCCTGAGAGGGGTTTGTGTCTTTTATCTCTATACCCTGACAGCACAATGACTGAAATGTCAGTGTTGACAGGATAATTATAACATGTCTTCCTCCAACTGAATTCACCCAAAGAAAAGGAATAGCCCATTCCTGCAGTGGAAACAGAGATTTAGGYTGTGGTTTCTACCCAAGTCCATTGTCAGCAGCATTTATGATCCTGGATATGGGTTCCACTTGCCTGTGAATGGGTTAGGTTTGGATTCTGGATGGGTGTACACCTATCACATGGTGTAACCTCTGTCTCATTTGTCTGCCTCACCATTACAATCACAGATTATGGCTGGTGGGATTGCTCAATGGGACAGCACTTTCCTAGCATGCACAAAGCCCTGGGTACAATCTCAAGTACCACACAACTACACACAAATATACACAGAGCAAAAAACACATACATTTATTTTTATTTATTTTTGGTACTGAGAATTGAATCCAGGGGCCCTTAACCACTGAACTACTGCCCCAACCCAAAATTTTTATTTTGAGATGAGGGTCTCACCTTACTAAGTTGCTGAGGCTGGCCTTGAACTTGGGATCCTCCTTCCTCAACTTCTGAGCTGCTTGGATACCATGCCTGGCTAAAACCACAGACTGTTGATCTGTTTGTTCAAGTGAAGGCCCAACTCCTGAGAAACATAGCCATTGCCTCAAGTCTACCTGGCTCCTTCCCAGAAAAAAACTGCAAATGACTAGGAGAGATCTAAGTGGGACATTTGCATGGAGAAGCTGGGTGTAGGTGTTGAAATCACCAGTCCCCTGCCCTGTGGGCCAGCAGGATCATGGGGTAGCCATCGGGCCCCTTTGCTATGTTCCAGGCCTGGGACTACTCTTCCCACTCAGTACCTTCCGATGAGAGGTACCATATTTCCAACTTCTAGTTCTGGGCTTTTCCTGGCTGTTCAACATTGCTTTTATCTGTCCTAGCTTGTATGTTTCCTGGGGCAGGGACTGGTTTGGTGTGACATGGCCTTCAAAGCTAGCCAGGAAGTTGACCAAGACATACCAACACACACATCTTGATTCAGGCTGAGTAAAGATGCTGGGATGTTCAACAAAAAGAGCTATATGGGGGCTGGGATTGTGGCTCATTAGTGGAGCGCTCACCTAGCATGTGCGAGGCCCTGGGTTCGATCCTCAGCACCACATAAAAATAAATAAATAAATAAAGATATTGTGTCCAACTAAAAAATTAAAAAAAGATATGATGTCCACCTAAAACTAAAAAAACAAATATTAAAAAAGAGAGAGAGATAGGAAGGGAGTAATAATCCCAGCACTGGAGAGACTGTTTTCTTGGGGAGGCAGAGGGGTTTGCAAACCGGGGAGATGGACAGGTGGCTTTAACTATGGGCATGGTTTGAGGTTATGGATCCTCAGGTATATCTTGCTTTATTCTTTCTACCTCCACCATGTCTTAAGGATTTGCTTAGAGATATCTTGAAAAAAGGTAGGAAGGCCTCCCTCCCTCCCTATTCTTGCCATCAGTGGGATTCCCAGCAGCTGGTGATGCCTCCCTCCACCCTCCCTTTCTAAGGGAATCTTGCTGAATTGTGTCCTAGAGGCCCTGGATATTGTCCCCATCTTCTGTTGATTTCCTCCCTCCTCTCACCCCCTTCTCTCCYSGTCCCTTTGCATTGACCTRCCCTGGACAGACATGTCAGATGCTTTGCAACCCCTAGTGAGACTCACCACTGGGGAGGGACTGCCAAGTTCAGGGATGAGACAAAATAAGGGAGCAGGGCCTCCCAGACGAGGTCCCCTGCACGTGAGGGTGGGACCCAGAAGCTGCTTGTCTCTGTCACTCTTTCATTCTTGTCCTACCCGCCAGTCACCAATAAGGACCAATCTACATAGAATTCAGGCCTGCCTGGCTGCTCCTTGAGCATTTT